TGGTTCTCGAAAGCCCTGAACGTGCCCCACGAGAGCTGCAGGCTGATCTGCACTGAGTCACAGCCTGTGGGCTCTTGAGCCAGGACATGAGCCGGATGCATTGGGACCAGCCCATCTGCAGAGACTTCTGCCTTCCTGGGACGGACTGGCAGCTCTTTAGTCCAGCTTTAATAGGAAAAGCCTGCAAAGCTCACTTCCCTGAACACTGGAAAAAATTCAGTGCAGTAGGTGGAGGCGAGAGAGTGACAAAAGGAGGGGAAAGAAGATAAATCCCACCCAAAGGGCGCAGAGGAGTGAGGCTGTGCCCTTCCTGCAGGGGCCACGTGGGACCGTGGTGATGAAACTCTTCTGAGCTGTTGGGCACACCTCCTGTGGAGCCCCTGCCTTTCCCCGGCAAGAATCAAAGCTGGCCTGTGGGTGCTGGGCAAGTCCACCACAAAATAGGTGTTTTCCTCATGCAGAGTTGATGCAGCCCCAGATGAGAGCCCTAGTGGGAGGATGGTGCAGGGGGATGCTGGTCCAGCCTTTAATTGGCGGTGGGATTTGTGACCTTTGCAGCAGGGAGTGTGGAGGAACAAAGAAAAGAAATGTTTGCAAGTGATTTCTGCAAAATGTGGAGGTTAGCAAGTATGTGGTGCTTATCTGTCTATCTATCTTTAAAGAGTATATGTATCTTTTAAATTCCTAAACGAGTGAGCAAGAGGAGCTGATCCCTGTTGCCCAGCACAGAGCTTGGTCTCAAGAAAGTCCTGTCCGAAGCCTCTGGGGCCAGGGAAGCACCTGGGGTCAGTCTCTGGTTTCTGCCACTCTCCCCAGGCAGGCAGCTGTGGACACCGAGGCTTTTCTTGGTTTTTTTCCCCCCTCCATAAATTCCATTTTCAGAGCAGGTGCCTGGTCTGTCTGACGTCATTTGCAGAGATGAAATCACTCTGTCCCTGCCCAAAGTAAATTGGAGGGAGGATGGTAGAAAGCTAAATTATTTTTAAAGTTTTTTTAAAAAGAATTGCATTAGAAGCAGAGAAGGGAATTCTTTGCTTTCTTGCCAAATTTACAGAGTTTTGAGGACACCTGGAAGTACTTGAATGACGCCAATTTGGATAGAAAAAGTGTCTATTGACTCTGGAGTTGAGTTACCGCTGACAACTGAAAAGTCAAATGACTTTTCCTTTCTCACTGTGCCTCTTGTCAAGCTGATCTATTCCAAGGACAGTTTGAGTTTTCCTTCCCCTCAGGAAACTGTCCTCAGCAGGTCGCATCAATTCCAAATAGATTTGATTTTGTTTTTTCATGGCTTTGCCTATGGAGTGAGAAATCAGAGGGCAAGGAGCGATGCTTTGGGAAGGGCAGGGAGATAGACACAGGTGATGGTAGTTCTCTCTTGCTTTTTCTCTAGGCTTTCTTATGGCATGCACTTTGCTTTTCTCTTAGAGTTGTCTCCTTTGCCTTCTCCTAACAATCCCAGCATCAGGGCTGGGATTCCTTCCATACCTTTGTCTCACGGTGTCATGCCAGTGTCTGCAGCTGACTTGGCGCAACCTGTGCTGGTCCCACGCGGCAGCTGGTGGACATCCTTGGTGTGTCCACATTGGCACTGTGCTGCAGCTGATCTTTAATGAGGTGCAGCCTCAGCTGCTTCTTTTTCTGGGAGAAGGTCCAGTTGGAGTGATGGATGCAAAAAGGGCAGTGTCTAGGCCTATGTCTCCATTCCCAGAGGGTGCTTGGCCTGGCCCTCGGCTCAGTGCCTGCTCTGAAGAGATGCCCCTGTGACCATCACCCCCTTTGCACCAGGGTTTGCACAAGCTCTGGTGTGAAGCAGCACAGCCTGGGGCATGTGTGTGGCATGTCTTGTAGTATCACCATGTGAGTGCCACCATCTGGGGTTTTTCAGCTTTGTTACACGAGTCTGGTTGTCTGGTCACATGTGGTTTCTCGGTGTGGAGTCTGTGTCATGGGGCTGCAGGAGTGCCAACTGTCACGTGGGACAAAACACAAAATCAAACGCATTTTCCAGCCCTCAGGGTTGTGCAGGTAACCTAAAAATACAACTGGAATGTGACTGGGCGGTGACATCCTCCCGGAGCTGCCAGCAGAGCCGTCGCGGCGTTATCTGTCCAGTGCACGGAGCCCGGGTGTGGCTGCAAGCCCCAGAGGTGGCCGTGCCAATGTTGGCTCTGATGGCTGTGGCTAATTTGCCTGTCCCCCAACCCCTGCGTGGGTACCAGGGGGTTTCATCCTTCTCCCTTGCATCAGTCTCACCCAGCCCCAGTGGCACCATTGGTGTGGCATCTTGCTCTGCTGGAGGACAGAGCCCTGTGTGGTGTTGTGATTGATCATCCCCAAGCACCATCCGAGGGGATGGGTGAGATAACCCTGTTCCCTTTCCAGCTGGATTTGGTTCAAAGGCTCTATATTAAAACAGAGCTGCAGAGTTTCCAGGCTGTGTGTCCTGTACATGGCTTGGGCACGTGGGGCTTTCCCATGGGATGTGCACCTCATGTGGAAAGATGAGTGCATCCCGGGCTTAGGGCAGGGGCTGTGTGCAGCCAGGGAAACTGCACAATTCCTGGCTGGATGGTGAGATGTGGTGGGCATCAGGCAGTGTGGTGCTGAGATGGTGCAGCTTTTGTCTGATCAGAGGAAATGAGGTATGCCATGAAAATCACCCCCTCCCCTTGGTTAGGCAGCAGCTCTTCTTTCAGGACAGGTGAAGTCGTTAACTTTTTGCTCAATCCCAAACACGCTTACGAGAAGTTCCTCTCCGGCCCCAAATGGGACATTTCTCTTCTGTTGCTCATGGCAAAGCAGCTTGTCTCCATCCCCAGTCTGTGGCTGTGGTGGTGACCTGGCCTTAATCAAAGTGGCCTTGGGAGAGGCTGGCTGTCCACAGGGGAAGGGTGGGGAGAGGGGCCCAGCATTGGCAGGGCACCGTTTGAGCTCTTTGCTGTTTTTAAGGGTGTGCTCTTCCACTTATTCAAGCCAGCCCACTGGCAAGAGGCTGCTGGGAGGGATGGGAGCCATGGGAGCCATCCTTGTCCTGGCTCTACCCTGGTGTGCCTGACCCTGTGGCAAGTGCCTGACTTCTCCCTATGGCAGGATTTGCTCCTGCAGCTTCCCTCACCTGTCATGGGGTCACATCTCAGCACTGAGGTGTGGGAAGGCTTCATGATCACCAGTGAATCACTCAATGCCTTTTGTTCCTCTGGGATTACCTGTGGCCTATAAAGAATTGGGTAATTAATGGCAAATGGTGTGCATTGGGATATTTCAACTGTGCTGGCAGACTTTTGAAAGAGCTGCCAATGGTGAAACTTGAAAGGATGCTTGAGTTTGTTTCTGTTTCTTTTCTTTTTTTGGTGTGTTTGTTTTTTTTAAAGATGCTTTTGAGATGTTGGGAAGCTCTGCTTTATACCACCCCTGGTCCTCAGGCACTGAAACCCAACAGGACTAATTCAAAGGAAATCATGTTTCCCATCCCACACGCTGGGTTAGGCACTTTCTGCTCCAAAGCAGCTCTGACTCTGTGGGTGTCTGTAAAGCTCCTTGAGTGTCTATGTCTGGGTCAGGGGGAATTAGGTGTTGAGAGAGTTAGTGATGGGAGGGCATGGCAGCATTGCTGTCCCCAGGAGTGCCAGGGACGGGTGCTGGTGGCTCTTGGTGCCATCTGCAGTAGCAGCTCCTGCGTCAGCATCCTTTATGTGCTGATGATCTGTGCTTGAAACTATACCCTGGGAGTGGAGATGAGCCTGAGAAAATACCTTCCGCAGTCCTTGTGGGGCTTACATAAACACTATTTAAAATTAGAGCCACTCATTATGTTGGTATGTGCGTTTACCTTGACCTCTGACTTTTCAGGCTGCAAGTGTGCGTGGCCCTGCAGTGCCTGGAGTCGGGGGAGAGCTCAGGAGCAAAGCACAGGCACATTTTCTATAATTAGTGTAAGGTAAAGAAGCTGGTACAGCATCTCCCCTCCAGGCTGACAGGGAAATCGAAACAAAACTGCAGCCTGTCAAACCCCAGCCTGGCTTTGATCAGGAGCATCAGCGCTGGCTTCTGCTGGGCTGGTTCCGAGGGAAAGGGGAAGAGCAGCGATACTTTGCCACAGCTTCTCTTGCATGCATTTGCAGAGAAACAAATGCTTTTATTTCCCCATGCCTTTGTCTCTCTGCTATTTCCCAGCCAAATCCACGCAACGATTTATATTTTGCTACCAGAGATGCCATCTCTGTTGTCACCCTGGAATAGCTGCTCAGCTCCGTGCCGATATTGTCATGGAAGAATATTTCTAACTATTTGTTGTGGTAATAGTTGTTAGTGGCAGAGCAATTAGCCTGTCACCTGCAGCACAACGAAATGTGACCTCTTTCCATCCCAGCACCTCCTTGGTGCCCAAACCAGCGAGCCTGGGCTCTGCTCTGCCCTGCTGGCTGTTGGCAGGGCTGTCCCCGCTCCGGTGGGATGCGTGGGGAGGGGGATTGGAGGAGGCAGGAGCAGGCTCTGCCTCCCTGCGTGCAGGCTGGGTTTGAATGGTTTGTCGGAAGAAAACACGTCCCACTGGGATCCACTGTGGCAATCCAGTGTTTCAGTGGCTCCCCAGGCTGGAGTTGGCTCCACACCAGTTTCCTGTTGACGTCATCTGCTATTTCGCTGCTGCAGTTTTTACAACTGTTGAGCTTTCAAGGGTAATCGGAGCTGGGACCGGACAGCCTCGGCAGCTGCCGATGAGGGGACGCGGCACTATCTTCCCCAACTCCCCCCGCTTGCTTTCCCTGCTGCTCCCAGCCCCAGGGACCCCCAGGAGCTGGGGACTCCGGGCAAGGAGAGCTGCGTGAAGCCAGCGAGTGCTTCGGGCCATGCATTCCCACTGAAAAGAATCATCGGTGCTTGCAAGAAGTGCTTGTGTTGGATCCCGCGGGAATTTTTTTCCCCCTCCCTCCTCCAGTCCGCCCCCATCCCTCTCTTCTGCCAGGCGTGCCGGCACTGCTCTTCATTTCTGGGAAACCATGGACAAGAAGCAAGGTAGATGTTGCAACTTCCAAAACACGTGGTGGGGGAGAGCAAAGGGCTGATTTTGGTGCTAAAAGGGCTGTGTAACTTTTTGGGGTCAATCCATGCAGTTTTGCTTCTTTCTCTTTGCTTGGACAGGGGGTCGGTGTTTGCAGCTGGGATGTATTTTTAAATTGCTGAAAGCTTGCATGTTTTATGTGGGGTTAAAACTCTGGCATCTTAATTGTAAAAAAAATAAAATCTAGCATGGCTAAAGGAAACTATGCAGAGGGTAAAGCTAGCTCCTGGCTCCAGTTTGAGTTGCATTCCTGGGACACAGGGTTTTCCAGCAGCTCTTGCATGGCTGTCCCCTGCTAAAAAACCTGTTGCATGGGAAAAGTGGGTGCCCACAGCCCCAGCAGGCAGGAGCTCTGATTCAGCACAGGCTGACAGGTTGTTTTGGGGCTGCAAGGGGCTTTTTTTGCATCGTGTTTTTTTCCTGCTCCCGCTGGCTGCTTTTGCAGAAGTGAGGAGCGCGGGGCAGCGATGACCTGCAGGAGCCCCTCTGCAGCAGGACCTCAGCACGCCGATGAGTGATGGCTTTCGGCAGGTTGAGAGCCCTTTTTCCACTTCCACAGATAGCTTTTTCCACTCTCAACAGTGGAAAATAGCACAAAGTGTGCCTATGGCTCTCGTGACCAAAGCACCCAAATTCCCCTCTCTGCTTTGCACCCTGCCTTGAATTTCTTTTTTTTTTTTTTTTGGTCTTGATGGTTTTTTTGGTCCAGCTCTTTCTTTGCAACAGGGCTGGGATCCACCCTCCACACTTCTGCCCTGGCCATAGCATTTGACTCTCCTCCTTGGATCGAGGAGAAGCAGGATGCATCCAAACCTTTTCCCCAGCACTAACAAAGCAGGGAGCAACCTTCTGTGCAGCAACCGTCCCCAGGACTTCACCTGGGCCTGCAACCAGAGCGCTGGGGAGGCAGTGGAGAGGCTTAATTTCAAAGGTCGACTCAGGCAAATAGTTTTATTTACAGTTCTTTAGATTGTCCTCTTCGTTTCTCTCCGCCCACGCCAGCGGAGTGGGAAGGATAAACCTCCCTGGGAGAGGTGCAACTTAATAGGGTGAAGTTGGTGGTGGCAAAGATGAGGATTCCGGTGTTGAATTAAGCAGTTCCAGGAAACGTCTGTGGTGATTCTTAACTGGTGGAGGTTATAGCATGAGAAAAAATGTTGCTAGACTTTTTTTTTTTTCTTTAGGAGGAAATGGTTCCTTTCTTAGCATAAAGGATGCAGTTACATGCCTGCAGCATCACGTGGGTTACAATCCGTCCACACCAGGAACTTCTGTCAGCTAATTTTCCCCTGCCTGGGTGCAGGGTGCTCTGCAGCCCCTTCTGCTGCCTGGAGCAGTTCCCTGCCCTCCCATGGGCTCGGGGCTCGCAGCAGAGCCTTGAGGCTTGCAGGGGTAGCTGGTGTGTGTCCCCAGATCGCTTTGTCCTGCTGCTGCCTCTTTGCTCGTGTGGAGGCATCTTTTGTACTTGGAGACATCCCTCTTGCAAGAACCTAGTGCTTTGGGAAACTGGAGTGTTTCCAGGATTTTCAGGTGACATAAGCCCTTGTGCACATTCTAGCAATTCCTGCACCTTCCCTACCAGGATCCCAAACGTGGGAGAGATCGTGCCAAATCCCAAGTGTGGGAGAGGCAGTGCTGGGGCCTTGCTGGTGGGAAGGAGCTGACAGCAGCTGCCTGTGGGGGCTAAAGACAGATGCCGCCCTGGGATGTACTCAGGGCTGAAGGGCTTGAATTGCAGGGTTGTGCCATGCCCATCCCACTGCCTTTCTGCATTTTTTTTTTTCTTCTCCTCCTTAGTCCTGCCTCCACTCTTACTCACTCTGAACAGGGCATGGGCTTTCCTTGGGATGTTGTAGAGGCGCTGCTGCCACAAGCAGCAGAAGAAGCTTGCAGCAAGGAGGAGTTTTGGGCCAGCCTGCAGGGTGCTGGAAATCTCGTGGCAAATTTTGGGAGTGCCTGTTATGGCTCTCTCAAATGAATCCAATGATGAATCCATGCTCTGCCTTGGCTCCTGTGCTGCAGGGCAGCATCCTGGGTGATTTTATTCCTGCAGGCATGGGCTGAGCTGGGTTTTCCGTTGGCGTAGGTGGCCCAGGCAGAGCCTGGGAGTGGTGGCAGAATACCTCCGGTTTAATCGGTGCTTTTTCAGGTTGGAGCTAGGAAATACTTTTCAGGGCTAGGCAGTTCAGGGTGGGAAGGGGATGGTTGCTGACACTGGTGGTACCATGTTGGGAAGTCAGGGATGATAGTTTGGAGGCACAGGGAAGCAGGCTGATGTGCAAGGTGCCTGCTAGAGCAGAATTCATGGCCAATGCATAGAGGCATTAAATGACTCTGTACAGAGCAGAGGGTTTGTAATGGACAATCTCCGTATCTCTTGCTGCCCCACTCATCCATGCTGCAAATCCTCCTGCCGTGGAGCTTGGGCTCCACGGGACGATGCACCCCTGGGATTCCTGACCCCAGGCTGGTTGCTCCCAGCTCACTCTGGCCTGGCCCTTGCAGGAAGGGCTGATGCCTGGCTCGAGCAGCCTGTGGACCCTGCTCCTGCCCCGTGAGTCACCGCCGCGGCCGCGATGCCAGGGGAGCCAGCGGCACAGAAGGCGCTTTGTGCCGGGTGTGCAGGGTTACTATGGCAATTGGGGAGAGGGAGAGCAAACAGATGGAGCAAAATCCCAGCCAGGATGGGGGTATTTCAGGGCTTCGTGTAGAGGTCTGGCTGGGAGCTGCTGGGGAGGCTCTGTGCAAACCAGAAGCCAGTCTGAGTTTTGGAGCAGGTCATGGAGGAGAAATGCATGGTGCAAGGCTTCGACTTGACAGTGAGCTAAATCCGTCCCCCTGGATGGCATGGGATGTGTGTCCGTGGTGAGCTCCTCAACTTGCCTGCATGAAGAACTCAGGGGACCCTGGTTTTTAGGTTCTGTGCTCAGCCTCCCACGCTGAGTAGCAAGAGGCTGAGTGTGGGAAGGGGAGGCATTTCTGAACCCAAGGACAACATCTTTCCTTTGCCTCTGTTTTGTGTTTGTTCCTGGTGCTACTTAACTGGGTATTTTGCAAAGTGCCATCAGTGTGAGTGTGGGACTACTCAGAGTGCCCCTTCTGACACTGCTGGGGGGGCTGTGGGGAAGGGAAGCTTTGCAGGCTCACGAATTAAAAGCTGTGATTGCTGTGACATGCTTGGGTTTCCAGAGGTGGTTTCCATCCAAGTGGGATCAGTTTGGGGTGGAGTGGCTTGATGACTGGTTTCACTGAGCTGGAAGTTCTCAAATCATTCATAGGAACTGTGCTGGTTCCACAACTTACAGGCTGACCCTGATGCAGGAAAAGTGGCAGATAAGAGGGAGCTATGGATTGATCCATGCTGATTCCCTTTGCAGAACAACTTTTACCTGCAGCCTCAGTAAGGTTTGCATTTAGGGAAGGACAGGACTGGAAAAGTGAGTTCCGGGCACCTGTTTTCTCTTGGAGCTGGCAGGGAACAGGAATGGGGATGGAAGCTGTCAGGGCTAGGAACATGCTGGGCATGTGTTGTCCTTCTGTCTCGCTGCAGCTGCAGGAGCTCTCACATGGTGCTGC